AGTAAGTGTGATACAGTTACCATTGAGTAATATATATATAACACAAAGCTGTTACTACCCAACAGTTCATAATTACCATGAGAATTGCATTACTGAATAAAAAAACCTCCTGATTTCTCAATGGTACTTCAATACCATTAGTATATATGGGATCTTCGTCCATGGACCAACATACTCAAATTAAAATCTTAATCAGATGAATAAAAATACTCATTTGAAATACTGCATTTGCATCTCAACCTAATTGATTTTTATACTTATGTAGCTTAGAGCTCATTAAATTTAAAATGTGAAGGTGGGCTTTATTGAAAAACATCAATAGAAACAGTATCCTAGATCTGAGAAAAACAACAAGGGTAATTTTATTTCACGCTCTTGAAAATAGTAAAAAACTAAACAATTAATAATAAAATTTAGAAATAATATTTCTCTGGGTATTTCTAAAAATAAAGATGTTTGTAATTTAAGATGCAATATGAATCTACACAAGACATATGTGTTGGTGCTGTCATGAACTGTTTATCTTCCATGGAGATGTGCAATATTTTATAAACTTTGTTGTAAGTTTTGTGAACTACATTATGTAATAGAATTTTAAAAATAGTAAGTACAGGTTAAGATTTGGCTCAGTAAAGAGTAAGTTCATGCATGGTGAATAGAAAATAGACATACTGTTTAATATATTCAAATGCTATTGCTTGAATTTTTCAATTTTTTAAAAGAGAGTATATATGATTCGTAGCACAGCTTAATGCATGGATTAGAAATAGTTTCAAAGTACTCTGTGCTCTAATGTTAATTACACGGAAATGAATAAAAGGTCCTAAAAATGTCTTGTTCTCTGTTTCGCTATATTGACGCAAATTAAATATTTGAAATTGCGACTGTAATTCTCTGTATGCCTACATTTTACTGTATACTTGCTTTCTCTATATAAACAATTAAATAGCAATTTTAAGAGGAAGAAACATGAAACTACAGGAACCTGCCAGTGATGGCAGCAGTGTATAACCATCGTGGAGTTCTGCTAATCTTTCAGAACACAAGTAGTGTCTGTGATGGTATCCCTGAGAAACAAACTGTGTTGGCAAAACCTATTCTGAAAATGCAGTCAATAACTAGGACATGTTAAATACTCCTCCAGGTTGAAACTTTTCTTTAAAATCTGTACCTTCAGTAAAAAGAAGTGCTCTTGTTAAGACAGAAATTGTTGGACTCTAAATTAAATTCTAAAGCCTATGGTATCCAGGAGTTCAGATTCAGAGTATCTCCTTCAGCACTGAATCTGCTCCGTTTGCATGAGTATGCGTACTCCGAACTCTATGACTATGGGATCTTTCAGTTCTTATTAACTGATGTTATCATTTATTTAATAGAAGACAATACTCATTCAGTTTCTGACATAGAAATCAGGGTTCTTACAGATGGAGGGTAAAATAATAAAGGAATTTACCTGTAAGCCAATAGGGCCTGGAGGGCCAGGGAAGCCTCGAGGACCTTCATCACCTTTTTGCCCAAACATCCCTTGCTGACCTCTTGGGCCTGGCTCCCCATCACCTCCCTATTTGGAAACAGTGAAAAGCAAAGATATCACAGGTAGATAAATAGCAGAAAAAGCTCCACTGAAATCACTGGAAAACAATTCAGAGTCACCCCTAATGTCTTTACAAATGCACGTAAACCACCTTGATTGAATGAAATCTGTTACACAAACAGAAAAACCAGCATATGCTCTCATTTGATGCTGGTCAAATAATACTGCATGTCTCACAAAAATTTTCCCTGAATGCCTCTTCTCTTTCACATCTGCATAAACATTCTAGCTGTTGAATACCTACATACTAGCAAATATGTGTTGCGCACTGCTCTACTAATATTTATAGTAGAAGAATTCAAAGCTTTCTAAATAAAAATAAAAATAAAACCACCTGGTATTAGGCGAATTTTAAAAAGAGATACTCTTTTAAATGCATATAGTACTGAGCTAATTTTACTACTGATTGTTATGCAAACCATAAAACAATTTCACTAAAATGATGGGCCCCACTTGCTGTTTACACTATTTCATTTTTAATAATTCCTTCAAAATTATTGCCCTGCTGTAAATCTGAAATAAAGTAACACCCATGCAGGCTTGTTTAAAACAAAAAACTGAATATAAGGCAACAATGACAGAACTGTTAATAGGGATTTGAAATATATTCTTGAGTAAGGAGCAGGAAGTTCAAAGAACTTTGAAGTATGAGGCGAGTTATGGCAGGACTGGGGTTTGATCTGAATAAGCTACTTACAGCAATACCAGGAGCACCAACAGGACCCTGGAGACCTGGTGGACCTGGAGGACCCTGCAAACATCCAAACAAACATCCAAAAGGAAAAGTTAGTGATTACAGAATCAGGAATGAAATTAAAAGCAATTTATTTTTTCATTTGATAAATTATTTTTATGAAGTCAACCAAAGCATTCAGCTCAGATCATCAGAAGTAATTTTAGTCTGAAGCAGAATTTGTTTAAAACTTGTTTACATCTATGTTTCTTGGAAAACTGGAATTTATAATAGAAGTGCTCTCTCATCTATATGTATAATACTACATTCTTTGTGTTAACAGGGCTTTAGAAATAGTTTATTATAGCATAGCACTTGTGATTTTATCTATTAAAATAGGATTGTGGAAAGTATGTGTTTTCTGCACTGGAAACTACAGAAATCTCTCTCGCATAAATAACTGAAAAAGACAAGCTTATCCTTAAAAACAAAGAAAACTCTTGTCATTTTTTGCACATTTTGTCTCCACATTTTTTTCTATGAAATTATCATAAAATTGTGATTTGCTTGATTATGTGCAAGCCATAAATTTGCTGCATTTTTTAGAAGCAACCTAATTTATGATGATCTATAAAATGTTAATCATAATAATCCCACAGTGTTTTCAAGGTAGTAAATATGCTTAGTTATCAATACCCCTATGTGAAGTTCTGAACTTTGCTAACTGTGAATATTGATGAAATACAATAATAAAAAAACCCAAACTTTCTTCAATTACTTCTCCATTTTTTCTTAACAAAATTATTCAAATAAAATGTGAGCTTATCTTGAAATTGAACAGAAGTGAAAACATTCTTTGGTAAAAAAATCAAATAGAAAAAAAATGTTAGTATTATCCTTTCTAGCTTCAAATTTTTAAGTGGAAAAAGCTTATTTTTATATTTCTGGCCTCCATCAAAAGAGGAAGTGCTTGAACTTTAGAAACAATTTGGAAGACAGAAACATTTCAGATTAAATCAGTAAAAGCCTGATTCACTAATAGGTGTAATGATAATATTTGAAAACTCATATAAGCCATTTCATCGGAGGTTTTCGCTGTTCTGAAATGTTGCAATCAGTTCAGTGTGCTCTCCAAGAATTAGATATTCTTCAGAAATTTTAAAACTATATTAGTAGATTTCTCTACTGAGTCTTCATGTTATTCATCGTTATGGCTAAGAAGCTAAAGCTGGGTATGTACACACAATCCAGTCAGTGAACTTTACTTAAAGACCATAAGAAAATATATGTATATTTTTTGTCTCTCCCAGTTCAAATCTATATGGGATGAATTAAAATTATGTAGGAAGGGTGTTTAGGAACATAGTTTACCTATCTATTTTTTAATAATTATGTAAGCTCAAGAAATATGAAAAATAAATATATGCATGGCGCCGTAAGTACAAACCTGTAGTATTGTGTTAAAACTCACATTATTTTGAAGAACATTTTTCAAAGTGTGTCTTTGTTTCTGTTCATTGATGCAGCAAGGCTACCTGTATACTTCATGCATGAATGCTTTTTATTTATGAAGACTGTAATGGACAAAGAATTTTGCTACTCACGTTTTCTCCCTTGTCGCCTTTACTACCTTTCTGACCTGGTTCACCAATTTCACCCTGTAATTGAAAGTTAAAAGTTAAACTTCTTGTTTAAAATGGTCTCCTTCACAGTTAGCCGAAGTCAATATCACAGTATGTTAAATGTTCCCTTTGATATGATTATTCTGTGTTTTATGCTGCTGCTTCAAGTGTGAAGGCCTAAAGGGGGCAATTCTGCATTGATCAATAGTATGTCATATTAATCCAGATATTGATTGCTACACTGCAAAGGGCAACAAGACCTGGCTTTGAACTATAGTGAAACTGAGCTTTAAATAAAGCAAACCATGTTCCTCATGTCACCTTCAATATAAACTTATGATGAAAGCACCCTGATTTACAGACTCATCTAACTGTATCTGACTGAACTGCTTTTCACTGTAGTGTACAATATTTCAAAACTTCAAAATTATTCAAATCACCCGAAACCATGTCAGTAAAAAAAGTTTTCCTTACAAAATAATAAAAGACAATTAAATCACAGCAAATACTCTCTGTGGGATAAATAATACTCATGCATCATAAAAATCAACCTCAGAATCTTTACCTTTACCTTATGCTAACTAACAAAACAGTGCTGGATCAAGCAAACATGCAAGATGAACCTGAAAGGTGCCATGTCCTAAATTCTGCCAGAAATCAACAGAATATCTCTGGTGTGAACATATTTTGACACCCTCAGCCCATCAATAGTGGTTCCAATTCACTATGTACTACTGAGAACATTTTATCTTACTCATTCAGGAAATCAAGTTTCTAAAACAGGCAAAAAGCAATTTTGACATCATCTGCCTTGATTTATTTTGCCACACTTTGATCCTTGTTTCTTTGCCAGGATAAATGTTAGTCTACTAGCTCTTGAACACAAATCCCAATGTCCCATGGCATCTGCCCCTCAGACATCTGATTATAGAAGGTTTTTTTAGGTTTTTTTGCAGCGGGTGGAGGGAGTTTGGGGGAGGCGGGGGTAAGAGTTGCTTTGTCACTGTATCTATTGTGAGAAAAGACACAATCAGAGAACTGAACTGACAGACCTTCTCACAGATGCACTAATACCAATTATAATGATTCACCTTGTCACCGTCTTCTCCAGGAGAACCACTAGGACCAGCAGGACCAGGAAGTCCTACAGGACCCTGTACTCCATCACGGCCAGCTGGACCTTGAGGACCTTTTTCACCCTAGTTTTGAAGAAAAGAAAGTCATCCACAGTACCACAGGAGACTAATGAAGATTTCAGTACAGGGAATCACATTACCAATACTTTTTTTTAAAAAAAAAAGCAACAGAAAGGAAATTAGAAAAGGAAGAGAATGTATCAGAAAATTATAGTAAGTAATAATGAAAACTGATATCAAATGCACTATTCTAATGCACAGTGGCTGGGTACAAAGTTTTAATGAAAGACTGATTTGACAAACATTTTTGTTATATTCATTCTCTGCTGTGATAATAACAGGTTTAACCTTTCTTGGCTGTTAGAGGGTATGACCATAAATGTTTTACTAGTAACTTAAATGTAAATCTAAAAGAAGTAGGTCAGGTATTATGAGGATATGTTTAATAGGTTAATACAAAAGTGGGAAAAAGTAACATTCTGGAAATAAAAGTCTGTGCTCTGATAATTTTCTGTGACTGATTACTTACAGGAGCACCCTTCTCCCCTGCGGGGCCTGGAGGACCCTGAGGTCCAGGACGACCTGGTAGACCAATTGGGCCAGCAGTGCCTGCTGCTCCACGTTCCCCTGGTGAGCCCTGAAATAAAAAATTATAAGATAATTCTGATATTGCCCTGATAACTGTTGGTAGTTTCCATGCATGACCCAGGTCAACAGAGAAGATACCTGTTATTCAGTGAGAACCCAGCTGGTAGAAGGGTACACATTCAGCATGTATACAAGTAAAAAAAAAAAAAAAAGGCTGAAAGTACTAATTTGAACTTTTGGGGGGGTTTTTGTTTTTTTGTTGGTTTTTTTTTTTCATAAATACCCCTTCCTGTATTTGTTCACCATTACAGGAGTGAGCTTTGGCCTGTTTCCAAGAAATTTTTCCCTCTGTGTTTCCAAAATACATTAACATACCACTTCGATGAAAGAATATTAACCATATTAACATACAGAAGTAACCCACACCACAACCCAAATTTTTGGTCAAGTTTTGTGCTATACATTGCTGTGTTGATCAGAAGTTTCAGCATTTCCATTCACCTGTGAAAAAGTCTATTAAAGTATAATGCCTAATTTGATATCTCATACAGAGGAGGCTTGGATATACAGGTATGTTTAGATAAGCACAGAAAAAGTTAAAAATCCAATATTACAAATTAAAGGGGAAAATACAGGTGCTGTATGTGGAAAAAGCACAGAAATTACGCTTTCTAGAATATGTTTTTACACTGAATAATAGCAGAGTAATAATTTTCACTCTAATATCATTAAACATCACTTTTAAAGGAGTCATATCATTGTCATCACTGTATTCCTTTAATTGTCTAAATAAGGTGTGTTTTTTTTTCTCTATCTGAAACTGCCAAAGCATCCATAAGTGAAAATTCTTTCTTTTGAAGCAGTATAGGGCTTATGGCTGTTGCATAAAAAAACCCAACCTTTCTTTTAAATACGTCAATCTGTCACAAAGCTAAGCTCCATAAACTTTCATAATTTGACCTGTGCTTTTATGGTTTCCACCGGATTGAACTAACTAGATAAAATGAGGAGAATGAATAGGCATGTAAAAATCTGCAGTGCTCTAAAAACAAAGAGGTATCTACGGTGGACTAATTTTTTTCCCATCTTATTTATTGTACTTTCTAAGAATACATATACTTTTAAATAGTACTGAAAGAGGAAAAGGAAAGGAAACAAGGTGTTCTGGTCCTAAAAACCTTTCCTAAAAGGATACAGATAAGAGTTTAGATTAAAACTTCTACCCAAATAAATGAATTTCAGAATCAAACTGTTAAATGTTGGTCTATCCATATTTGTTTATCATTTAGTCAAAAGCCCTAATATGGAATATTGATTTTAAATCCTTTTTGCAAGCGGGGTTAATTTCCAAACAGTGATCTATAACCAAAGTTCTCTGCAATTCATCAGCAAAGAAACGGACACCTGTTTGGAGGCATATCGCAGCATGAAAATGACAGGGGGTAAAAGACATTTACATTTGAATTCCTAATAGCTCCTTCATCACACAGGCAGAATTTTACCAAGTATTTTTCTGCGTTTGTGAAACAAATTCATGATAGCACAGGGGAAAAACTTCCTGTGTCTACAGAAGTTAACTGCCATCTCACCTGCTTCTTCCTATCTCTCCACAAGAGTCAACATGTACAGGGAGATAGAAGTATGATGCTCTCCTGGGTACAGGCAGAGCATGAAGGATGGTGTAGTTTCTTTGTGCTTTTTACACCATCACTGGCTGAGAACTCTGACAGGAAAGTCACCTTTACCAGTCCTGATAATCCTGAGGATTAAAGATGCTGTTCATCCTTCCTGTGTCCTGTAGATAGGGCAGCATGGGAACAAGGACAACGGAGTATTCTCGTCCATTACATGCTACATCTGAGCTAGGCTTGTGCTTACCAGTCTAATGGGAAAAAGTATTTCACTAAGAGCCACACAGTTGACCTTGAAATTTGTGGACTCACTGGAAACTGAGAAGCAATGAGAGCTATCCTCTTGCTCTAAATTTCTATATTTTCACACTTTTACAGGACCTTTGTTTTCTGTCTTTTAAATAATTTATAATTTTTGCATCAACAGAGCACTGTTTAAGGTTTGTCTGCTGTATATTAGTACTTTTCCAGCTTGTCAGCTTGACACCTAGAAGACAGTTTGTAACACTTTAAAGTTGTTGATAATTTTACTTTCCCAACTGATATACTGGAAGTGGAAGAGGGGTAATACATCATGGAATGGATAAGTAATAGGTGTTGTAGCCTGATGCTCTAAATAGCGACTTTTTTTTTTCCATGTTTAAGCATGATCAAATTTGCTGGCTCTTGGAGCATTGGAATTTTAAGATGCTTTCACCTATGACAGCCTAATTTTTTGCTTTTATTCATGGCATACTTTTCCTGGACTGACTCCTTCAGTATAACTGGTACTAATTCCATAATAATATGCTTTTCCCTCAGATAACTGTGGCAGAAGAGAATGGTTTCTCCAAATATTTTTGCAAGTTATCTTAGCACGATCTAATTTTGCATGAGTATTCAAAAAAAAGTATTTGTGCAGGAATCATAGATGACTTTATCCTTCCAGGTGTCGGGGGGGCAGGGGTTTGGTTATTTTTGGGGTTTGTTTTAATGTCTGGGTGGATGCCCAAGTTTCAGTCCCATTTCTGCTATTTTACTTCCTAAGACTTCAGTGAATTTAACAAGAAAAATTCACTGCCCTGCAGCCATACTACCATGGTCTCTGATCTTGTCAGCTCTCATAAGCTAAACAATTTTAGGCCATCTCATCAGTAGGATGCAAGAATAGAAAGCAAAAAAAAAAGAAATCCAAATAACTCATAGACCTCCCCTGTATCAGAGAGTGGCCATAATTTCTATTAGCTCTTTTTACTCAGCCAATCTTTCATGTTTATCTTTGCATAATTTTTATTTATTATACTTGAATTCCACATGAGTTATGAACAAGAAGTACACCTGCTTTCAAGGATCTGCTCATTTCTCTGTGAGAATGGCCTCTAATCAAAGCAGAACACATTAAATTATAGCCACAACTCAGAAAAGCATTTTAGGCAGCTTGTTAAGTCTGTTCTCTCTTTCTACGTTTATTATCTTTTTTTGTCACTCTGTCCCACTATGTAACAATCCTCATATATTACTGAACTCCTTGTTAACCTATGGTTTTGCAGTGGTACTCATATCCTGGAATCTTTTTATTAATTTGTGGAGGTTTTAAAAAAGCCTTCTTACAGAATGGAAGTGTCATCCTTTGTCTTGCATTTCTCTTATACAGACAATAAACTCATTAGTAACCTTGTTTTTTCTCTCTTTCTGTGAATATATATGTAATTATAGCTATTGTATATATTACATAGTAGTAGCAATACTTTTTACTGATGATTGACAAAATTCTCAACAAGTGAAGATCCCCATGACTGAGATAGCTCAGTACTGATAATTTGATAGCCTATAGCTGGCTTGTTCTGAGCCTAACTTGGGCATCCTATTCCTTAATGAGCTAATGAAAAATGACTGATTGACATTCTGAAGAGCTTTCTCTTGTGAGCATTCAGTATTCCACACAGTAGTACGAGAAGGGAAGAAAACAACCAAAAGACAAAGACAGCAGATAAAAGAGAACTGTTACAAAAAAAAAAAAAAAAAGAAAAAAAAAAAAAAAAAAAAAACCAAAACCAAAAAAAAAAAAACCCACCACACAACCCCCCACCAAAACACCAAAAAACCTCCAAAAAGAAACAAAAAACTCCCAACAAAAACAAAAAAAAAGAAAAAAAAAAAACAAACAACCAAAACACAAAAACAGGAAAGAAAAACCAGAAAAAGCCTTACTCTGGAGTGCATTCATGCATCTCTTTCTTTTGTCCAAATTGCTCTAAGCACAGTAATTGGCATGCACAGTATTTGGAGCAGTCATTTGTTTGGTATGCTTGCAGATGTATGCAATAGCCAAATAAAGGTTATAATTGACTATATATGCTAGTTAGAAGCAGTTGGTATTGGCAGGGAATTGGAGGAAAATCATCCAGTGGCATGAATTCTCTTCCTATTATAAATGGCAAATGAAGACTCCGTTATAATTACACTTCTGTATGTACCCTCTGTTGGCTAAAAATAGATGGGAAAATATTTTAGGACTATTTGAAGCTCATAGTCTGCTATGAGCTACTATCAAAATAAACTCAAGGTATTGTGGTTTAATTGTGGTCCTTGCAAATGCACAGAAACCTGGTATTAAGGGCATCCATGCATCTTTTTTCACTGAAAAACACTTTCAAGAGAACAAGTTAGTAATTAATAATGAAATAGCAAAAAAGTTCCACTGAGGACTTCTGGAATACTCTTAGGTCAGCTTGGTGCTGTTTGTCTCAAGTGGCCTGCTTGCAGGCCTAATGTGAACTCAAAATATATTTCAAAACAAATGTTTACCCTTCAAACTCTCTTTCTACTCTGCCCACAGTTCCTGCTGCCATCTATTCCTTAAAGATTGAAAAAACAATATGCAAAAATTTCTGAGCTTCCTAAATCATTCTTTCTGTGACTATGTTTACCTTAGCAGGAAGTGTGGCCCCAAAACTGGCTTTATAAAGTGAAGAAGCAGTTGGTACTGTGCTTCTGGCACCCATACTCTGTGTATTTCTGGACTAAACTTCATGATAATTCTAGTTTGGCACTGAACTCCCACTAGCTGGTGTGTATTAGAAACATGCCTGGAATTTCCCTTCCAATTTAGTTTCACACAAAAGGAGAACTCCATGATTTGAACCTAAGGATGGTAAATGGGAATGATTGAGCCATTCACTTCAAAAAGGCTCTGATGTTTTGAAAGAAAACATTAACGTATATACACCCTATAAGAATTAGTAAAACATGGATCATCTGAATTTAGATTCAAACACATGTATTTCAGAAAATGGACAACCATCACTAAAAAAGATGTGTGCTTTTACCTCACAACCTTACATGATGCACGTTTATGAGAAACTATGATAGCAGTGGCACAGCAACTGTGAGGGCATCCCGCCTAGGAAATGTCAGGTATGCTTGTGCTGTC